CAAAAGCCAGCCACTAGACGACAGAGGGCTAACGAGCAGCTTCCCTAACAGAGCAGTTATTCCAGAAGGCCCCAGCTCAGCAGTTCTTCAGTCCCTAGGAAAGCATGTCGAGTGGAAATGTTCAAAGGGGTAGAAAACAATTAGGTGTGTAACTCCCACCCAGGGCTGGGGGAGGAGGAGAGGCGAATGCCAGACTTCCACCAGGCTGTTGAAAATCTTCCCATGCCTGAAGTTAAGCATGTGCTTAAATGCCTTGGACTTTCACGGCTGAGACAGGACCCTGGATTAGAGCACTCATGGAGTGGATCAGGCATGGGGAGCCCTATGCTGCTGTACAATAAAGCTGAAGTCTCCTTTCCTGTTGTTAATCTCTTTCCTGTCTGTTAGCCTCAAGGCACAGTGAAGAGTTAATTGATTTTCATCCAGGAAAAGAGGACTTCACTGAAAAGTGCAGTCATGGAATTTTTTATTTTATTTTAAGCACCAGGCACACCTGCCAGGCCCCCAATTATTCCTCAGGAGGAGAAAGTCTACTGTTTTTCCTGTGAGGAAACCCTCTGATCCAAGAACTTGTTGGAGGTTTTTACCTCGTCTATGCACTGTGTTAATCTGTCTTCCCTTTTAAAACCTGGCTGCTGGTGGAGGTTTTGGGGTTGCCTGTCCTTTTGTGTAGGTGTTTAGTGGTTAAGGTATTTAACCAAAGAAAGATAAAGCCTGGGCTAGTTTCCTCCACAACTGGGGGTGCTAAAAATCCAAGGAAATGTTCCCTGCAGCCCTGCTGGCTGCCCAAAAATGAGAGAGATTCAGATTTTGGGCCCCTTGGGCTGGGCATCCTTCCTGGGGACTGGCCCAGAAAAGGGGAAATTCCTCCATTAAAAAAAAAAACAAAAACATTTTGTGGGGGACCTGACCCTACTGCTGAGTGCTGGGGCTCTGGAATTGTTCAACTGCCTTAGGGAGGGGAGTTGGTGCAAACATCACATGGGCCAAAACTACCCTCAGAGATGCATTGCATTTCTAAGGAGATTTGGAATTTGATTATTAGGAAGCACCATGAGGAACTGGGAGCTCAAAGGGTGTGTTTCCAGCATTTTGTGCAGCAGCACAAATTTAGATGTAAGGCTGAGCTACTGCACAGGCTGTTGGAGCTACACTGAGATGTTACCTCACAGCAAAATCAGAACTGTTTTGGGTAAAACTGAGCTGAAAAATCTTCTTTGGGAGAGCACAGAGTGCTCCAGTAACTCAGGGAAACCTACCTGTGCTGGTCTGAAAACTGTCCAAGTTGCCCCCCAGCCCTGACACAGACAACGTGGACGTTGGGTCTTCAGTAGAAAAAAATTCCCTCTACAGATCCTCTCCTTTCATATCAGATAGAAGAAGATGAAGTCTTAAATGATATAGATGAAGTCTTAAATGTTCCAAATCAATATAATGCTTAATAAGGTGGCTTGGTCTTTTTTAAAGTTTGTTTTTTCAGTCATGTTGAGCCACTACTGCAGGACTCTGACAGAATAGATTTCATAGTATTACATGGGGAAATTACGCTAGTGTTGCTGAGGCTTGAAATAACAACAACAACAACAACAAAAAAGCAAAAAGCAAAAAATGTGCTAAATTCAAAGTTGCACAGGAGGCTATAATGGCTTTACATTTTTTTAAAATACCGGAACAGGTTCTGTTGTGTGTCTTGTAGCCACTAATGGATTTTAACTTTATTACTATTCAGTTTTATTGGAACTAATCAGAAGACTGTAGGAATGAAAGGACTCCCACATTACTGAAACAGTTAATTTTTTTAAAGCCAGGCTACTGAAGACTAAGTTAAAAGGGAAGAGCAGATCAAATCCATGTGTGGGTCATTTAAGAGCTCAGTCTCATTTTTGAAATATAGATTATCAAGGATAACATGAATTCAGCATTTCTATGTAATGCTTCATTCATTGATCCCTTAGGCCAGCAGCACTTGGCTGTAGAGAGATACGTAAAAATGAGTTTTAAAACTTTACCCTCTTTTAATATTTTATAACCTGTCAAAAGAATCAGTGAGAGGTCTGCCTTCCCTCAAGTTCTGATATCATGGCAGCAGATCTTCAGCAGAAATGTGTTTTTTCATACAACTAAATGGTAGTTGCCATGAAAGCACATGGCGAGTCATGACTCTGAAGAAATTCCTGGGTGAACAGTAGCAAAGGTGAAACGAATGGCTAACACCTGCCAAAACCTGCATGGAGAGTGCTGATGTCATCAGCAGTGCCATCACTTCACAGGCAAAGCCTCCGCTCAGGTCTTGACAGCTTGGGGCAGGAGGCTACGACCTTCAAATAGTCTATTTTAAGATGCATTTTCTGTGTGGCCTTTATGAGTCTCACTGAAGCCTGGGCAGGACCCAGCCTTTTACTCATCAGGTCCTTATTTATGTTTATTTATAAGCTTTTCCATGGACGTCATCTTGTTACTGTGTGAGTGCATTATGTATATTAATGGCCTTGTCCTCAAGCTTTGCTAGGAGTGATGAAAGAGCAATATCTGACAACAGGGAACAGGGATGCAGGGAGGGGTGAGGTGATGGGCCAAGGTCACACACGATGTCTTTTGTCCCCCAGCCTCAGCTTTAAACTGCTGCTCTCATTTTTGGTTAGATTTACTTAGCTGTTTACTTTGGTGGGAGCTGAAGTTTTCACGACTATTCTCAGGGTTAAATCTAAAATTTTTCTGGCCTATCAATAATGTCACAGACAGACAGACAGGTACACATGTCTACAAACTTCAGGACTGAAGCTTCATGAGCAGTTTCAGAGACACCCCAAGAGCACTGCTTGGAACTTTCTGTGTGTAATATGGAGAAAATATCATCCAATAGACAAAAAAACAGAGGATGATTTTCTGGCTTTGCACCATAGGCTGAGCTTTATAGGCTTAGCATGGGAGTATTGTCAATGTGTTTAATTTTTTTTGTCTGTAAAACAGACATCTTGATGCTGCAGTCTTCCTCACGAAGCCATTTTGACCAAATTACTTAGATCAAGGAGTTGTTCAGATTTTCATACCCTCCATGGAACAATTGAATTTTCAAACCTTGTTTACCCTAAGAATTCAATATCATGCCCTAAGACACCATCCTCTGAAGCACTGGGAATACCCAGTCATCAACACAAAGATGTTTAATACAGTTAAGTGTAATATTTTCCAGTTTGCCAAGGCCACTGTTTTGGACAAAACTGCATGTAGAAGTAGTTAACCCACAGGACAGTAAAATACTAGTCCTCTATATTATGTTGACATTTAATTATCAGTCAAGAAAGATCAGAAAACACACAGCAAATCACAAATATGTTGAAAAGAAAAGCATATTGCTCTCATCTCTTAAAAGATTACTATTCTGTAGAGTCAGAACTGAGAGTCCATGCTAACTGGCAACTGATTTAAAGTTTCAGGACACACAGCAGCTGAAATTGAAAGTAATATGAATGAAGGTGATGTGTTTAGCCTCAGGAAGCATGGAATTAAACTGTCTGCTGGTAGGAGGTGAGAGGGGAAAAAAACTGGAAATGGAGCAGTCCCTTGTTTCATAACAGCAGCCCACAGGAAGGTGGTAGGGGGAAGGAAAGAGGGGGATGAAACCACAGCAAGATTTCCCTTCAGTGTACCTAGCAGGAGATTAGCAGAGAATATGCTTAATTATTGCTTCCTGCCCACCTGCCTTGCTCTTTCAAGAACCAGAGCTCACTCAAACAACATTCACTCCCTTGGCAAATGCACTCCTAATGGAATTGGTTACAAATTAACCAAGTCAGTTGCTTCTTTTACCTAGAAGGATTTGCAATTAATTTTGTCTACCTTTTTATTCAGGCCTGCTGGTGAACTTTCAATTTCCAAGGATCAGAATCGGGATGTCATGCTGGGATAAATCAGCGTAACTTCTGTTCAAGGCAGTGATATTGCCTTTATTTACACCAGTCAGTCATCCATCAGTTCTGGATGATCAAATTCACTGTCCTATTTACTGCCTTCGGTAATTCTGTGTTATCCTAGCCAGTGCTAGATTTATTTTGTTAATAATTCATGGGTTGCCTTCAACTTATGACTCTCTGTGCTACACAAATGATTTGGAGTAATTAAAATACCTTAAAAGCACCTTGAGTGCTGTTGGCAGGAACAACAGCAAGTATTTAAAAGAATATTTAATATCGTGCACTGCCGGCATGCATGCTGGGAAACAAGCTCACATCCCAGACCCTACCCTGGGCCAATCACAGGAGAATGGCTTAATTGGTTAATCATATAAATTACAGTCACTTAATCATTTTAATCACCATCAGCCAATTAGCTCAGAGTTATGGGCTCTGAGGTAACAGTTATGCAAATGTTTGCTCCACTGCAAGCTATTAACAGTCATATTTTCTATATCAAGCTGACAGTGACTGATGTGAAAAGGGAAGTGAAGAAAGTGAGCATTTGTTTAGTATAAACTTCTGCTTCTGAATGAAGCACATTATCGGAATGGACTGAAAATGCAGCAGTTGTCTTTTTTCATCATAGACCAAACCTTGCACTGGTTATGCTGGACTGGGCATGCTGAGGTGCTCTCTGAGGTGTTTTTGCAGAACACTACCATGATTGCCCCAGTGTCCCAGCATCACTGTCACTTTTAATGAACCACTTCAATAGCAGGATCAGCATAAATCATGCTGGAAAACTGCAATAGTGAGTGAGAACTGGATGATTATTTTTTATCAACAGTGGATAATTTTCCAGAACAGAGCTGTTACTGCATAACAGGGTCTCCTCTGCTCTGCCTCTGCCAAAATCATCCCAGTCTTATATCCATGAAAGTAGTGGCACCATGCTGGCTTCAGTAGAGATAGTCACTACTTGCAGTGAGGATCAGAATTTATCCCCAGCTCTTTCTCAAAGGTGAAAAAATGCAGATAAGGTTTTTAGTATTTTATGGCTCGTTTGCATTGTTTGGGTAAAATGGGGCTGCATGACAAAAAACCAGAAACGGGAAATACAGAGCAGCAGAAGTATTTCTGATACAGTGCATTGGGGCTGGAATATACAAGACTTTTGTGTGATCAGATGTCCATTGGTGTAGGTTCTGTTCAGGAAATATATTGTTCTGACCCGTTGCCAACTTGGTCTCTCTTGACAGCCATGCAGAAGTTCCAGACCTTCATTCCTATAGTAAAGCTGATATGGGGGGGAAAGGTAGAGAGGAGTGAGATATTTGTCAGCATTACTATTTTATTTTTTATGTTTACCAGCCAAAAAGCACACTTAGAACTCTAGCAGGTAAAGAGGGTGCAGCTGACATGATTTTCTGCAGCATTCAGAAGCTTGTCACTAAAAGAGTGACACGTACCTCAGAGAACCACTTAGGAGTTGCAGACTCTAACACACATAGAAAATGCCCTTGTTATATTTGATGTGAGAAGCCACAAGTAGTCCATTTTCAAAGTGTCTCATTACCATCAAGAAGCTGCAAGATATGGAGGAAGGTTTCCATGAAACTCTACAACATTTTGATTTTTTGTGTTTGATTTTTTTTGTGTGTGTGTTGTTGTTTTAAGACATTTGGGGTTGCAAAATTCCATGATTGAAGCACTTAGCAGTGTATCTACATAGATAGACATATCACTGCTACCAGGGTCATGTATTATAGCTTAAATTAAACATGCCTGCTAAGGATATTAGTAGAAAGAATAACAGTTTTATGCTATGGTTATTTGAAGCCAGTTGTACTCTATAATATTCAATTAACAAATTATTACAACATCTATTAAAAATTTATTAGTCCTTTATTGGTTGCTCACAAATAATGTGAAGCATGATCATTTTGGCTATTTAAATTAACAGACACTTTGGGGAGATGGTGTATGAGTTATGAGTACCATACTTCAAGACAGAGCAGCTGATCTTGTCAGCTAGCCTAGAAAAAACAAAACCCTCACTATATTCAGAATCACAGAATATTCTAAGTTGGAAGGAATCCACAAGGATCATGAAGGCCAGCTCTTAACTGAATAGTCCATACAGGGATGCAACCCGTGTGAGCTCATGACCTTGGTGTTATTAGCAGCATGTTCTGATCAAATGAGCTAATTTCATGGTCAAATATTAATCAACAGAGAAACAACTAGGCTGTTTTCAAAGTGTTTCCACTTTGGAGCAGAGGAGGAGGAAATATGTTCCTGAGTTTCAGCTCACATACAGTGACACTATGGGTAAACGAGCTAGGCAGGTACTCTAAGAATCCAATGAGCAAAGTACTACAAATAAGTTGCTGCCACTGAAATGCAAAAATACCTGGCAAAGTTGGGAGAAAAAAATGCTGCTACAACTGCAGATGGGTCTGTACATGAAGAATTACTCTGATGCCAACCAGTAAAGTCTATAGTAAAGGCAGCCAAGCTGAATGGCAACCACCCAGAGGACAATCCCCTTCATCATAGGTGATCTAGGAAAATATTTGCATACAATTTTATAGGGGTAATTGAAATTGAGATTAAAGCCTTAACCTTATAAAAAGATGAGACCAACCAGGATTCCACAGTACCTACAGAGACAGGATCTGTCTGTGGCACACCACATAACCACAGCACTGCACCGGCATGGACAGCATGGCCCCAAACAGCTTGGTGGTAAACCCTGACCTAAGGATCAAACCTCAGGAAAAAGACCAGGTTAGGAATGGCACATCATCTCCCTGTAAAGGAATGAAATGCCTCATTTTACAGTTCCAATGCCCCAGTACTATTTCATCTTTCAACGACCTTGTTTCAGAGATATCCTGAAAAATACTGAATACTTTTAAATTTCTGCCTTTAAGCAATATCTTACCTTTCTGTTGCACCAAGGAAGCTCCTGTTGAGTAGCAGTATCTTTCAGCTGTGTTGACAGGATCCCCTGGCCTTTGCCATGCCCTCAGCAGAGATACTTATGCCTGGTAAGCACTGCTTGCTCTGTCAAGGTCGTTCCACAGCTTCAGAGACATGCTCTGCCTGAAATAAATTAGTAACAGAGAATACCTATCAATATTTATTACAATTACTCAGGCAGAATGTAAAACATAGGCTGTATCCATCAGCCCAGTGCAGTCAGACCATTGCTATGAACCCAAGACCAGGCCCCCAAAACCTTCAACCCTTGTAGATGGTGTCATGTCCTGTCAGAAGCAAGTGTTGGAGCTGCTCATCTGCTTCCACAAGGAATATGGAGCCAGGTAAACAGTTCAAACAGGAGGAGATCTTCCTGCAGAGAAGAGTTGCTGGGGCTCTAATTAGCCTTCCACTGAAACATTTCCCAATACCAAAGAGGAAGTGTGTTTGTCTAGGGTATTAATTTACCCTATTCGGCTGGAATCTTCTAAAATCTTTCTACAACCCATATGCCAGAAGATATCTTTATGATGGTGGTTGCAGAAAACCATTGACTTCTCTAGCCTGGTGCCATTCAGCTTTGAAACATAAATACAGCTGTGATTTTGTATGTATTCATGCACTCTTCAAAAGCCTTTAGGAGAAGAAAAACATTATTTTCTTGCTAGTTTGTTGAATGATCACCAACAGTCATATTTTGCAATCGCCACTGGAAAAAAAAAGGGCTTTATGCATGTTTAAAAAGTACTTTAATTATAGGTTTTCTTCATTCCTTTACTAGTGCTATGTCTTTTCTGTTCCAACATTCACATCAACCAAGCAGTGCACAAGGAATGCCAGATCAGGCTTCCTGAAAATTAGCCTCAATTAAGCCAGGTGGCCTTTGATTGTTAATGATTGATTAGAAAGCAAAAGACAGCTTTACAGCAAATTAGTCAATATCTGAGCTTTTTTCTTCTTTATTGGTAAAAGAGATCTCCTTTCTGACTGTTGTTATTTTTGATATTCCATTAAGATGCCTGCATTTATGTCACCGTGTCTCAATAGAAAGGCTTTTTAATTCCATTGACAAATCTGTCACTTAAGGAAGAACATGATGCTGCTGCTGCTTTTAGTGATTAATGCTAAGTTTGACTATATTAAATACGATAATGATCTTAATGTATTATCATTTAGGTACATGGCGGTGCTTGGTTTTTGCTTGCAGGGAGGTCACACTGTACCATACTATTTTTTTCATTAGTGTGTTGAGGGTGAAGAGGTACATTGGTCCATAACCCCAGAGCAAGAAAAATCTCCATTCAGGAACAGTGCTGTGGAAATATCTTTCTCTCTGAGTTTTCTAACTTTACAAAGAGCATGACAAATCTTTGACCCACCTTAAGCAACAGTGTGCCTAAGGAGTGGCATGCATCCCATACTCGATCAATATTTGTTTCAGGCATTTTAATCCAGACAGGCAAGTTATCTGAGGTTGTGAATATCACTAAACACAGGTAGACAGCTAGAGTTAAATTGAAGAAAGAGCTGTAGCAGCCTCAGAGTAAATTCAGGCACCTCAGGGAACAGTGTCTGACCAGGGGCTTTCTGAAGATTAGTTCTGGACTGAATTCCTGTTTGAGTTGAAGTTTAGGTGTTGGTACATCCACTAGCTGTACTACTGGTTACAGCTCAGCAGCAGGCTAGCTCTGGAAAATATCCCAGCCACTTCTGGTATTAGAGGCCTTAAATACTTTTTAAAATCTGGCTCCATAATCAACTGCGTAAAGAAGGATCTTAGAGACCATCACAAGCGCAGGCAGCTGACATGAACAAAATTTTCTGTTTTTCTTCCTTCCCATCTCCTTGTCTCTGACATCTTCACCTGGCTGCTGAATGGTATCCAAACCTGAGAGATGGGTGCATGAAAGAAGGCTGGTCCTTGCATGGGCTGCAGTTTGAAATCAGATACCAAAATCGGGAAGGAAAACAGTCAAACCTTGTTCTTGGGTGAGAGTTAAGTACGAAAAGCCATGGACCTGCTTCAAGCACCAGTATAATTGGGTGAGCCTTTTTGACTTTCTACCTTGGCAGTGACTGCAGGTATGGATGTGAAAGATGTTTAAGGACCTTAGGGAAATAAAGACAAAATCACAGCTGTACTACTTAAGAAATGTAAGAATAGAAGGGACATGGTTAAATTAATAGGGGTGTTCTGTTGTTTAGATCTGGGAACATGGAATACAAGCCAGGTCTGGGTAGTGAATGTTAAAGCAGCAGTAAAATGGGCAACATTAAAAGTATAAAAGGACTATTATAAACTCCTGATTTAGCCTTAATAAAAACTGAAAGCTTGCATTGCTGCCAGTAAGGGCTACTGAAAGTGTGACTGTGTTAGTACAGGTGGGGCCAGGAAGAGGGAAAGAATGAGAAAACAGAGCATCAGGAGAAAGTGTGCTTTTATTGTCTGATTTTGGTTTTTATTAGCGAAGTTTGTAATGCAAAAAGGTAGCTGGATTGCTCTACGTAGTGAAGAAAAGTCTGAGGAGTCCTCAGAGAGAAAGAAGAGAAGGAACTTACCCTTTTTAGTGTGCTCCATTTTCCATCATTGAATTCAGAGATCTCAGGCCCCAGGAAACATCTAAGGTAGAAGCTAAACTAAGGAGAAATCAGAAGAGTTCACTTTCTTCTTTGTGGTCTGGCCATAAGGAAGAGGTCATTTGATGTCTCTTAAACCTTTTTTACTGTGCACTGATGTAAGCCAAATGACCTTGGACTGGTTATAGGGTAAAGAAAGCAAGCTGTTCTTAGTCCACAAGAAATATGACTGATCCTCTGAAAGGTTCCCCATCTATGCCTATGTTGAAGGCACAAGGGCCTTCATCAGCTCTTCTTTGTCATGGAAGTCCCTTAGCTACATGCTGAACTAAGGTGCTGTGAACCTGGGGACACTGAGTGACGAAATGGGAGCTTTTGGGATACTCTAAGTGGCTCTTGTCAGTGCCACTTTCACCACATAGCAACCTGTTCTTCATGTGTGCTGGATTTCTTGCAACATGTCACCAGTCAGAAATTCAGAGTGCTGAAGGTCTGACCCTACCCTGGACAGTGGCTTAGAGACTTTATTATTAGCTTATGACTAAGAGAATTCTGTTCTGTTGCTTTTTTTCTCATATACCAGCATGTTGAATCAGCTGATGAATTGTCCCCTGAAGAACGCTGTCTTCTTGCCATTGCTCTTTCTCCTTTGACTCTTTAGGATAGCTTCTAAAATAATCATGAACTAGAATTAAAATAGCTAAAAATTAAACAGATGTTGACCCTGATCTTTCAACTGTTCTTTTCAATTTTAGTTTCTCTTGCTAAGACTTTTAATGAGGGACACAGAGTATTTTTATTATCTTAACTAATTCCAGTAATCTTCTCATTTGTGTCATGCAACTGCTACTATTGATTAAGTTAAAGCAGCTTTTTCTTAGAAAAAAGTAGAATAGATCTATTTGTGACTGGCCAAGGCATTTGGTTTATTCTGGTAATCTGTGACAGAAATCAGAATAAAATAGACTAATAATTGGAAGACCATTTCCCACAGTTTTGAGTTAGCAATGGGTTGAGATTGACCTAAGTCTTCCATAATGCAGGTGTGAATGAGGATCATGAAGTATAATTAATTTTTCCTTCCTCAGTGAACAGTACAACGTATTTGTCTGTATAAATGTCTGTATTTACAGGATAGGGCTTAATGGACAATTTGGAAGATCAGATTCAGAGAAATGTTGTGACTTGTTACAGTGAAGAACAAGGTAGGTGTTACACTGAGCACCTGCCCTCCTTCACAGAGTGCTCATCATCTTGCAGGATTAATCCTTTACTGCGAGTTGTTACAATTCACATTTCTAATGACCAGCTCACCCTAATAAGAAACAAGCTATGTTTCAAACTTTGATCCAAACGTGAATTGGCTGCTGGTCAATTGAACAGAAATTAGATCATCACTCACTAAGCCAAAGGCATCAACAATATGTTGATGTATTTCTCAATAGCAATTTCTCAAAATCATTCTGCAGCTGTAATCAAAGAAGGCAGCAGAGGTTTGTTTCTCTGCTGCCTTTTAGCTCTGTCCCTTTTGGGTCCAAGAGGAGTCAGCTGTGGTCGTGCTCTGGTGCGTGGAAGTTCTGGAGTGCTGATGAAAACTATCAGGTGAAAATTTGAAAACTCTGGTTCCTGATGCTGCAATCCGTAACTTGAGCAGGGTGTCACACCTCCTGTGCTGGGAGTAAAATTCTGTTTTAAAGAGCTAGACAAAAATACATTATCAGCTGGAAGATAATAATGGATAAGAGTAGGAATTTCTGGAGAATTAGACCCCCCAGAGATTATAAAAGACTGGCAAGATGTTATAAGACAAAATGCCCTGATCAGTCCTTGAACTTCAGCATAAGAAATTACAGACAGAGGTGGGGAATCGACATCAAGTGAGATACTAGGGCAATAAATACAGTTAATTTTATGTCAGAAACACATTGTAAAAGGCAGGAAAAGCAGTTGTTTGATCCTGTGTTCATGAGTAATACATGTCTTACAGGTCTGTGACTGTTTACTATGCATCATGTTCTCAGTAGTTCCATTTTTATTTTATTCCAGACAATTATAAATGGCTAATATTCCCACAAGTACAAAGCTACAATGATGTACTTTCATCTCCTTCTGAGGACTTGATATCATTTTAAGAATAAGAAAACATCCTCTAACTAGATAATTTACTCCAAGCCAAAGATATACCCACAACTGTAACAGACTACAACAGTGTCTCCCATTCCAAAGGGTGTCTGAAGATTCATGTCAAAGATCAAAGGACTGTGCAAAGGGTTGTGTGCATGTGGGAATCTGTGTGCAGTTTATGCACTCTACTGGATAAGAAATGCTGTGAGCATGGGCTGCAAAAAAAGAGTCCCTTTTGACTGTATCAAACTGGTTTTTACCATCATTATGATAATTTAACTTTTATTTTTAACTGAAATATCAAGGATTGCAGAAAGAAAAATAATACTGGAGGGCTGTTAAAATGGACAATTTTCCACAAAAGGCATTCATTTCCAGTGGTCCAGCAAAGGCTTGCACTTGAGAATGGGAAGATACTTTCAGAGCCATAAATGATGACTGAAAACCCCAACCTGAGTTTCGTTGTTCCTCTGTCCAGCAAATAATTATGAAAACAGGTAAATATTTCTAATACTAATCTTCAAGATTAGTGTTGTGATTGGTTAGTTGATTAACTCACCTGCTAGAGATCCAAAGGTCCAACTCTGACGACTCACAGAAGTGTCAGTGTGATGCTGTGTGATGCAGTTTGTTTTTCAATATGCTTCCCTGAAATCCCTAGGAAATTACTCTCACAAAAGCATATTAAAAGGTCTTTATTAATATAGCAGAGTTAATCAGAGTATAATCTAGGAAATGCCAGAAGTGCCACAACCAGCCGACTGTTACTCCTCTGAGGTGTTGCAGCCTCCACTAATAAAATATCACAACCAAAATTATAATAAAAAAGCAAACAGATTTTTTTTGGGTCACTCATGCTGTGCTCACTTTGAAAATGACTGCATGGTAAGGTGAGATTTTAAAAGTTCCAAACAGAAGCAATTAAGTTGGTGAAAGAAAATATAGCTATTTGCAAATCTGCCTTCTCCTCCTTCACTCTCCAGCACAAGAGTACTCCTAAGGGACCAGTTAATTTCTGCATGTGTATGTACTGTTCTTTAGGTCACAGTACAGCAGACTGAGACACAGAAGTTCAAGCCAAAATTGTTTTGCAATTAAGAAAGTGTTGCAAGGTGAAGTTGTGAGGGGAAATAATAAAAAGGAGGTCTTTAGTATCATAACTTTTCCAGTGGGTCTGAAACATGTTTTAATCTGAGATACATACCTGAGATATATAATTTTGAATTAGGTCAGACTTAGATGTTTAAAAGAATTCATGAAAGAGGGGCAAAGATATATATGTTGCACATTGTGTAATGTTTTGATTTAAGGGCCTCTAGTTATCAGTGAATAAGTCTGATGTAAATTGTTATTAGTGACATATATTAATAATAAAACCTGAGAAAACACTGATGTTTTTTAAGTAGCCGATTTTGAGCACTTTACAGCTAATGGAATCCCTGCCTTACAGCAAGGAATAATTCGCCATCAGGCCAGTGAGCTATCAGCACAAATTAAGACTTTTCCACTGTCACAAAGAACACTTTGGATTGAATCAGGGTCTCCTGAGTCTTAGCCCAACCTTCATAGCCCTGAGCAATGGTAGGTAAACCCCTTCATGCTAACTAAAAATAGGCTAAATACATTTTAAATGGCAAGCTTTTGAGAATTGTATTTTCTCAACAACCAGCCATGGAATACAGAACAAAGCAGAGCCCAAGTGTTAATTGCTCCAACCCCATAATTAAATGCAGACATACTGTACTCTGACTGTGATTCTTGAAAGCATGCCCACTTGGTTTTTTTCCATGCAATAAAAAAGAACTCCATCAATATTTTGTTTGAGTAAATGCAGTTAGCAATAGCTGACGTGACAATAGGTTATTGGCATAGTTATGATCAGAAATGCCTTCATACATTAGCCACAAGCTAAAAAAACTAGGCAGTAGTCAAGCCACTACAAATTATTCTGCTCATTAACATCCGGTACACTCTAGAAAGCAGTGAATGCGCATGTGTTTATTTTGTGGTTGTGTCGGGGAATGGCCCTGGGATCAGATTTAGTGCATGCCTGTCTGCATGAGCCCATGCACTGAGTTGGACAGATGCAAGCCTGTCTGGCCCAGAAGTCAAACACTCACATCAGCACAGTACCATGAGCAACCTCGTGTGTGTTGCTTCCTTGCTGTTATGTCTTCATAGGTCTGGACCAAAGGCCAGCCTCCACAAAGCCGGACCAAAGTGCCTGCAGCTGGAGCCAGTGTCACTCCTCCTCCACCCGTGCCCTGTGAGCTGAGCTAGCACCAGCAGCCTCCACCTGGCTGAGAGCATGCAAGTCCTGTTATCCCTCTCCAAGTCTGACCTTCACTCTTGGCTTTATTTAGGAGCTAAATGAAAGCTGAATATTTATGATTTGAATGTGCCAAGATCAAGACTTTACTTTCCAATTAATTTCAAGTGGTTGGTTTAATAAACAAGAAATCCTTTCCAAAAATTGAATCAACACGTTATATGCCTTCAGGGCTTGGACCCCCTAGGCTACCTTCTGCTTATGTTTTATTTGCATCATGCACATTTGCTTTGTGAGTGTCTAGGTCTGCAAGAGCAACCAAAGCTGAGATTTTGTTTGATTACTTGTGGATGCTTAAGTCAAACATCAAATTTAATAGACTGCTGTTAAATATGGGCAGTAATTTTCATTTCCTTTAGAGGGTGGGCAGCATTAGGGCATTGCTCTTGTCACCACTGTATGTTGGTGAGGTCCCCTCCAGTGGGTACGAAGGCAGGGATGCTGTTGCTCTCACTGGGGGGACTCTCTGAGGAAGCTCTGGTAAGATGCTCGCACTCTGAAAGTGCATTGAACCAAGATACAGATTACCTGAACCAAAATGCTCATGGCTGACCTCCTTCCCTCCCCCTCAGCACCACCCATCCTTTGGGCATTTACCATCTGTTTCCAGATTCCCATGCAGAGAGGGGTTAAAAGCATTGCTACACTTACATCCTATGCTCAGTGGACTTTGTACCACAATGGTTTCTTCTGTGCCCCAGCAGTACTGGCTGGTAATTTGAAAGCTGCTTTATGATCCCTGCAGAGTGAAATAAACTTGTAAGTGAGAGGTAAAGCCTTGTGACTGAATAGTGCTATAAAGCTGTTTAACTCCAGCAAGTTATACAATCCCAAATAACATCCCCTTGGGGGCTGAGTAAGTTCTTGTGGGAGAGGAGAAAGAGGATCAAGATACTGTGAGGGAAATGCTTGCTAGATGCTCTGCTGCCTGTGGTTTCAGGGCTTTTCCCTGTGATGCACACCATGCATCCCTTGTTCCTACTCCTGCAGGCTTTCACGCCCCACTGGCAAAGTTGTTCTCTGAGACTGCAGAGAGGTCTTCTGACTTTCATTTGAACCTCCGATGTATCTGTAACTCTGATTTGATTATTTCCTGAGCAAGTATACCTGGGGGTTTTCCCTCATTGATACCCAAATATAATACAGCTATTGAATTATCAATGACCTTTTCCCTCCTGTATGAGCACTACACCCTACGGTCACATTTGAATTCTGTCTTACATATTTCCTTAGAAATAAGACACTAAACCTGAAGAACCTGTGATTAATTTAGGGAGTGTCTGACACAATCCAAACATCTTCCTGAAAAAAAACCATTGCTTGCCCCTTTCTAATTTTGTCTTGTGGTTTCAAATAAATAATGTAATTCTTCTGAAGCTGTGAAATATGATGTCATTATTAAAAGGCAGATGTGTGCTCGACCAAGAGGCAATAGCATCACTCTGAACAGGTAAACTATCCTTGTAAACTGCCTTAGAAATTCTTATTAATACCAGTAAATAATACTATTAGTTCTATATCCAAATTGTTTTAGGCCCATGGGAATGCAGGGAGAGAGCTGACTTCACCAGTGAGAACTGCAGCTATTATTTTGGCAGCATTGAACCTAGATTTATGGTATTCCATTAAGAAGGAATGCATTAACTCTACAACTGTCACCACTGCATTGATGTCAAAGGAAGTGCTCTGCCTGGCTTTGCTGACTTGATTGATGGAAAATAGTATATCAGTCTGGTTGCTCTCTCTCTGATGAGAAAGGCAAGTATCCTGGACCCCTGAAGCTATAGCAGAACTCAATTTTTTTTTCTACTCTTGGCAAATTTTCCTGCATTCTTTGGCCCTGGCCATGGAAAAGGAAAAATAATACAGTTGACTTTTTTTACATTGCCCAGACAGGAAGCAACCCAACAGGCAGAGCAATGAAGTTGAACCCATCTTGCCTTCCAGTCCGGTTCAATTTCAAGCTTCAGCTTTGCACAAATGCTATCAAGAGTGGGCTGGACTTGAACAGCAAACTCAAACAACTACATATTTGAAGATCTCTGCAGGTTGAAACTCAGACAGAATATGGATTTCAGGACAAGGATTTCTTACCATGGATCCACTCTCCCAGCAGACTGAAAAAATATTGGCTTCATCTCTGGTGAATGTTTAAAATAGCACCTATTCCTGTAGCACATAAAAAAGGTACTTATTTTTTGTAAAAGGGGGAAAGTTCTTCTCTTGCTCTTGAACAGACAGAGAAATGAGACACACAGGAAATGTCTAGTGAGTAAAATAACCAGGGACTATGCTCTGGCCCTGAGGCCAGGCAGCACAGTGTGGCTCAGCTCTACATACCATACTCTCTTCTTTCCCTCCCCATCCCCCAGACTCTGGGTGTTTGAGTTGAAATTGCCTGATGGGAATGGACCCTGGCACATGCTCTCCCCTGAAGCGTGTCTGCGTGTTGTCTGGGAGAAGGGCAATCAGCACAGCAATCCCTGTGCTTGGGAGCGTGCAGGAATTACAGAGCATGGACAGCTGCTGGCCTTCCACTGCTGCCCTGCTCTGCCTGCCAGGCTAGGCACAGCACAAGGAGCTCTGCGTGCTTTTACAGCCCCTGAAGGGACTTGGCAGAACACCAGCATTCGAGTCCGTGAATATGATCCTTGAAACTCTCATCTAAACCTATTGGCATTTCCAGCAGCCAGCTGAACCAGGTGGGTAATATTCTGCATCTGGAATGTTCCCAGTTGCTTTGGTTGTGGCAACCCAAGATGTTCATCTTTCTGCTCTGAAGGCCTTCAACAAGATCATGGAGGGCAGCACTGTCTGTCAGGTCAAAAAAATTAATGTAAGGAGAAGACAGGCTCCATGGTCGGCTCAATTTTCAAATGAGATGCACAAGTGTACGTGCACACACACGCACACACACAGGAGGTGAGCACACGTGCATGCACACTCCAAGAAGCAGTGCCCAGAAAAATTCCTCAGCACCATCTGCAGCAAAAAGGTTTTGCAAAAAACAGTGCCAAGTGATGTTCCCACAGTCACACTGTGGGGGAGACTTCCCATGTCTCCCCACGTGCTCCCTTCTGTAGAAGGCCCAGTGGTTATGGTGCAGACCAAGGACTTTTCAAGTCCTTGAATTCCTCAAACACCAAAGGGACAGGATCACAGCTAGCAGATTATATTCCATACATAAGAGAGAGAGGAAACAGTAAAACATATATTTTCAGAGGTTTGTTTTCACTTTGGATCAAGAAGTAAATTCATATTATGGGAGATAACATTTCATCAGCTTCTTGCCCATACTCATTGATGGTTTGGATCCTATGGATAAAAAAAATTAGGATGCTTTCTGTTAGATTTCTTTCGGTGTTATTATTAGAAAACCTCCCTGTAGACTTAAAACTAGCGTTCTCTTTACAGAAATAATCTCTATTATTCATAGTAATTTTGGCCTGAAATTAGTCCTTCCACAAAGCCTTCCCATCTTAGCTGGGAAAGATTAATCTCTTTACTGTCTTCCCTCACTGCTCTCTTCTGTTACTCATCTGCTCATACTTTATTTCTTCCAAAAGCAAGAGGCTTACACTGAATTCATTAATCAGCGTTTCTGGAGTTAAGATGTGGGAAAGTCTCACCCCTGCACACCCTCTCATCATTACTGTGCTTATCATCATCTTAAATTGGTTTGTCAGCCAGCCACTCACCTCAGTTGATGTTTCTTGCTATGCCAGTGTTACAGTCCCTAAAAGAAATCATAAATTATGGCATGCAGTGAGGTTGATACACCATTGAGCAAAAAAAAATAATTCAGAATTTTGTTGCTGACATTTCTCTCACAGCATCTTATCGAAATGCGTGTTTCTAATTTAAGTTTTTAAATTTTCCTTCCAGTCGTTTTCATTCATACTCATGCTTTTATTCAAAGTGAGCTACGATGATAACTCAGTTCATTGAGTTATTTCAGAAATTATTAACACAGATTATTCCAGAAACCATAGTATCTTGATTCTTTATCTTCTAAAATGTATTTACAAATTAGGTTCCTGGTTCCTCTAAATAGCTCCCATATAAGAAGTGATAGTGCAGCAATTTGGTGGGGCTGCTCGAGGGCTGCTTGTATTCCCTGCATGGGTAGTTCAATGTGAGCCATACAGAAGAGGTTATAAACACAACAGTTTGAAAACAAACCTTTCCCACAACAGGGAGAAGGTTTTTCTCTTTACTTGTTTGCTCATCATCTTGCCCTTTCTAATACACTTAGTCATCACTGTTTTAGAGTACCAGGCAATGTGATTCAGCAATCTTCAGGCAGAA